ATTCCGGGACCAAGTTAGGCTGCAACCCGTAGAAAGCAGCGGAGAGAGTGACCAGCCACCCCGGCTTGTAACTCCCGTTCTCGCACTCCAGATAAGGCGGGGACCACCGGACGGGGCTCCTGTCCCCGCCGAGCCCGTCCCGCCGCCGCCAGCTGTGGCCCAGGCCCCGGGGCCCCTGGTGGGAGCCGCGGCGGTGTACTTGGGTCCGCCACTTGCGCCGGAAGCCGTGGAACCACTCGGTCTCCAGCGTGGCGTTGGCCAGGTGGTGAGCCGAGGACGACAGGTCCTGGAGCAGCACGCGACTCTCCTCGCGCGTGGCCTGGAGGAAGACCTGCGGGGCGGCCGCGGGCGCGGACAGCGACTGGGTGCTGAAGGTGAGGGCCGCGCGCGCGATGCTGGGCTCGCCCTCCAGGAGGCTCCGCACCAGCGCCCGGTACCACTCCAGGTCGTCCTGCAAGTTCTGCTCCCGCGACTTATTGCTCTGCAGCATCATGTTGAGGAAGTTGGTGGCGTGTGTCAGCGTGTCCAGCGCCCCGTGCAAAGAAGGATGGGAGCTGGCTAAGGCGGGCGACTTCCCCGGCAGGCCCGCCAACTCGTAGCGGCCGGAGCAGTTGGCTCGCTTCAGAAGGTGGGAGTCCCCGGTGTAGAGGTAAGAGGCCACGTCCGTGGGCACCTCCTCGGCCAGTTTCTGCGCCAAGATGGTGCCGTCGGTGGAGCGGCTCCAAGGAGCCCAGGGGTCCGAGGCTGAGGCTCGAGCCGGCTGCGGGGCGTGCTGCTTCGCCCTCAGGGTCCTCTCCCGAGGGAAGCCCGGCCGCCCCGCAGGGTCGCGGCTGGCGCCCACAGCTCCCGGTCCCAGAGGAGCGAGCAGGAAGCAGAAGAGTAAGGGATAAGCCATGGCTCCCATCTGCCTCTCTCTCTCGGAGAGGAGAGGAGGTCAGGGGGGGAGACACTTGTTAAATGTTGGTCGTCAACTGATCAACAGTAAGACTTTTCCTAGGAGTCTTTCCCCTTCTCCAGATGGCACCCAGTCGAAAAGGACTTTAAAATAAGAATGTCTCGAAATCGGCCCGCCGGCGGGCTGAGCCAGCGTCACAGGAAATCGAATCACCTGTGGCAACGCTGGCTGCAGCCGCTGCACGATGTGTCGGCGGGGGCTTTAGGCGCCTCCCAGCCTAGAGCCGAGCAGGTTACCTCGCCTCCGGCGCCCGGCAGCCACAGCCAGCCTGCTGACGTCTTCCTGCTCGGCAGCTTCCCCGCCGTCCTCACCGAGGTGTGTTCCAGAGCCGAGGCTGCCGCTGCTGCCGCCGCGGCCGCCGAAAACGCTGCTCCATCACCTCGCCGCGGCGGGTCGTTCCCGCCTCCCGCCTCTGGCTCCGCCTCTGGCTCCGCTTCGCCCGGAGCGCGGAGCGCGCGCGCACAGACCCGCCCCGCGAGCGCGGGAGCCCGTCCCGCAAAGCCAAGGTTTCTTTGAAGATGATTGTCCTCTGGGGTCCGGAGGGCCAGGCAGCTGGTTAATTGGAGCTTTAGGTTTGGCCACAAACCACAGTCCTGCCTCTCCCCGCTCTCGGGAGGAAAGCCTATTTAAAGCGGCAGCTTGGCTTGGCCGCAACCAAACCCTGGCAGGGCCGCTTCAAGCCGTCCTGTTCCCTGTTTGGCCGGCTCCCCTGTCAATCAGCAGCCTGCTAGTTGTTGGGGTTGGGGCGGGAGCTGTCCAGTGCTGAACCCGAGGCGCACGGAGGAGGCACAGGAGGAGGCGGTGGCGCGACAGGCAGCAGCGCTGAGTCCTTTCACCCACTCGCGTTCCCCGATGACTCTGAACGCTGAGGGGGTGGGAGGAGGTGGGCGGGAGTGAGGGGAGAAGCGGAGCTTTTGTGGCTCAGAGGGAAGGAAACTTGAACGTACTGAGGAGGCGGGTGTTGGCGTCTTGCATGCTTAGTTCAATCAGCCTTTTCTTTTGCCTGAAAAAGAGGGAGAAAGGAGTTTTCATTTCTGACTTAAATCAGAGGGGAAGGACGTAGGATGGAGACGTGTGCTCCCCAGCATCTGCTCATTTTTGGCAAATCGTCAAATCCTCCTCCTTGTCGCTTAAAGAAATGATTAAAACCTACTTGCAGAGGTCTGAGCTGTGAGGGAGTAATGGAGACATCTACTGGCTGAGCCCTGAGAAAAAAAAATGCCACATTTAAAGAACCTGTGCTTGAAAGGGCGCTGGGATGAAGGGAAACGAGTGAAAGTATGCAAGTGAAGAGGTAGAAGGGAGAGAACCTGTGCAAGGGGCAGGACACGGGCTCTGAGAAAATGAGAAGGGGTGAGTCTGTGCTGAGTGAGAAGGGAAGTCATCCCTAGAGATTGGAAAGTTGTTCCTATAGATGGGGATATCCCAGCAGAAGACAGAAAAGCTGAATTAAGTATGCCAAGCCCCTTCCCCAATTACTGGGAAATCCCTTAACAGCGGCTAATTGTTTTATTTGAAGCTTTAAGAATGTCTTTTGACATTCTTAAAATACTAATTAGTACTAGATATGTAGTGTTTTATGTACCTCCATTTCCAATTTTTCAAATTCCTCAAGAAAGACAAATAGGAAATCCCAAATTCACTTCAAATCCCAACTAATCAAAATGTCACTTGTAGCATTCTAAAATAACACTGATTAAATTTATTTTATCATTTTATTTTATTATCCCCATTGAGAAAATACCCAAACACTGAAATGTAAGCTCCAAAGAGCAGAAGTTTGTCAGCATTGAATCACTGTAGTATCTTGAGCACCTAGAACACACAGAAATACCTGACACATAGTATGTTTTCACTAAATATTTGCTAAATTAATGAGTAAACCAGAAGATCTTGATGATGAAGCTAATTATTTAAAAATTCATCTCCATACCTAAGATAAGAAGTCTGCATGATATGTCAATGATGAGGGCTTTTGGAATAAGACATAGCAACCAATTTTCCAAACTGCAGTGTGTGGTCTCCCAGTGAGTTTTTCATAGCTATGCAAAGGATGGTTATTAGATTTGTATTTACTTACAAGAAGATTTCATGTTCATATTCAACTTTTGTTTAAATTTTTCTGTGTAGTGTATGCTCCTTTGCTGAACAAAGGTCATCCCAGTTTAATGCTTTAGTATAGCACATGTGGTAATAATAACAGATGAGAATTTCTGTTTGTTTAATTTTTCAGAGTATGCAATATGATTTTTCATCTATTTAACCATCTAAAGACTGAAGTGTAATTTTGTCACTCATTGGTTTAAAAAAAAAACAAAAAAAAAACCTACATAACTTATTAGCAATTATTTAGTTTTCTAGTCTTGCACTTAAAAAGGAAGTTATAATTTTATTAGTAGGTCTTTCTATAAGAATTCAATGACACAGCATACCTGAAAGACCTGGCTTCTGATCTTGGCATTGTTTTAAGCAAGATATATGACCACTGGCAAAACATTTAAAGTTTCTGTGTCTTGGGATACAAATTGTATCTGGCCCTCATGATTTGACATTAAGGGAGTATGGAAATGGCACCTGAACAACTCTCCAGGAGTGCCTGTCCTTCCCCTAGTGCACATGTAGTAAAAAAAAAGGAGGCTATGAGAAGGTCTTGCAAGTTTAGCATTCCTTTCAGTGGATCACCTTCAGTCTATATTGCCAAACAACTGGGGTGAACTAGTTGGGTCTAGAACAGCACAGCCCAGTAGAAGTATAATGAGAACCACAAATGTAATCTACATATATATAATCTTAAATGTTCCAGTAGCACATTTAAAAAGTAGAAAGAAAAAAGTGAAATTAATTTTATAATATGTTATTTAGGCCAATGTACCCAAAATATTATCTCAATAAGAAAGCAATATAATAATTATTAATGAGATATTTTACATTTTAATACTAAATTTTTAAAATCTAATGTGGATTTTACACTGAAAGCACATGGCACTTCACACATTTCAAGTGCTCAATAACCATCTGTGGCCTGAGGCTACCATAGAGGGCAAGCTCTAGAGGTAGTGCATTGTGGTCTAGAATGCTCCAGAAAGCTTAGGTCCACTCAAGATAAGACACCATGTCTCAAGTGCTCTAGGAAACCTGGTACATTTAACAGGTCTGGAGTCAAGGTAACTGATTAGGTAGACCATTGTATGTCTGTGTTAGTGTGCATCAGTAAAGGAAATAATCCAAAAGAGATTTAACACATATTCACACACTTCTAAGCAGATTATGAAATTCCACACCAATTCACAAAGACATATCACTCACTCAACAAATGTTGATTGAGCCTCTACTACACATCAGGCATTGTGCTTAGCACTGGGACAAAATAGACACATCTACACAACAGACACATGGACCTTATAATCAAATGGGTAGAGAAAGATAAGAAAAAAAGCAACATATAAATTTAAAAACTGCATACTGTGATATGTAGCGTGAAGAAATAAATGCTGTAAAGTGATAAAGAGTTCAGGTTAGGGGGCCAGGGAGCTTCTTATGTAAATACATAAAGGATAGAAAGATTTCTATGATGAAGTAACAACTGAGCTGAGACCTAAAGAATGAGGAGTGGTTAGATAATAAGTAGTAGTGAGCAATTTAAGGATAAGATGGAGAGAAACTTACACGAGGTAGAGGGAGTAGTATGTAAGTGTATTAAGACTACAAATGTTCCATTCTTAGCAGGAAAGGGAACTGGAAGAAAATTACTGCAATAAACTGAAGTTCATAAATAATATGAAAAATACATACAATTTAGACCAAAAGAAAACCATTTTATAAAATAATCAAGTGATTCTAGTGTGAATAGCACCCCACTACCACCAAGTACAGGAACCTAATTTGTAGAGGTAGAAAAATATCCATGTAACTTCAAAATTAAGAAAGAAGTTGTCTAAATGAATATTAATACTGTGTAGGAGTTTGGCTACCATAGAATAATATATACAGGATCTTAAGCCCAGTGTGGAAAGGCCCAATGCTTTTTCATCACAGCCTCAAAAGTCAATCTAATTGTTTCAGACCAGTCAAATTTGAAAAAGCAATATGCAATGGAGTTATGAGTTATTAGTTGTCATTATATGGTTGATTTATCACAGTTATAAAAAGAAAGATGTGATGTTAGCATATCTTTAAGTAAAACAAATTAAAGGAGGTCAAAAACTGCTGAGACCAGATTTTATGTGAGCAGTACAGGTATAGTTATTTTAAAATTTTAAGTGCTGCTTTAAATCATTTAAATAAGCAAGGATTAGGACAGTGGGATGTGGTGAAAGGACACTGGCTTCACAGGAGACTCGGCTATAATCTTGGCTCTGCCATTATTTAGTCATGTGACTTTTGACAATTTTCTCCACTTCTCTGAGCCCTTTTGCTTCATTTGTAGCATAAGAGTGATGTATTGTTACAACTGGATACATTACAACTGGAACAATTGCAGCTGAGTGATGGCTAAAGGTCCAGGTATATTTTTCAGGAACTCATTCTTTTCTTTTTAATTTAAATCATTTTTTTTTAATTTTTCAATTACAGTTGACATACAATATTATATTAGTTTCAGGTGTACACCCCAGTGATTAAGCATTATATAACTTACTAAGTGATCATCCCAATAAATCTAGTACCCATCTGACACCACACATAGTTATTAGAATATTATTGACTATATTCTCTATACTTTACATCTGATGACTATTATGTAACAGCCTATTTGTACTTCTTAATCCCTTCACCTTTTCACCCATCCCCTCAACCCCCACCCCATCTGGCAACCTTCAAAATGTTCGCTGTATCTATGAGTCTGTTTCTATTTTGCTTCTTCATTTATTTGGGGGTTTTTTTAGATTCTCTTATTGATAGATATGTATTGATTGCCATTTTATTGTTCATATTATTGATCTTTTTTCTTT